GGCAGGTGGGGCGCTGTGCTCTGTGCTGCGGTCGCCGCGCCGTGATGTTCAGCGGCGGTTCTGCTGGAGCAACCAGCCGTAATAAAATGTCCAAGTCGATTTCGGGCAGGATCGATTTCTAAGACTGACGCGTCGTAAAAAGCCCGTCGACTCGTCTTCACACGTCGCCTGCGCCCTGGGGGAAGTTACGTTTGTTTGGACGCGCTGCATAGCACGGTGATCCTCGTTCTTTATTTGCTCTCTGCCGCGCGCTTTTATATCTCCTCAGCTCTTTACCGACCTCGAAACTTAGTCGTTTTCTAGTGCGATGGAGCAGGCCGAGGTGGCTCAGGACATCAACTGATGTGTCTGCAGAGCCTCTCACCAAAAGCTTCTAGGGTTCGAGTCTCGACGAAGGCAGACTTTTCGCCACCAGCTACAAGGTAGCTAGGCCGAGTTCAGCCGCTTTCTGGAGAAGAATCCGAGCGACAGACTACTCAGACAGGTTTTCCGTGGTTTCTTTGGTTAATACCGGGCAAGTGCCGGAGCACTACTCTAATGCTCGGGTCACAGGCTACGCGTGATCTTTCCTTCATCTTCCTTCTCATCGTCGCCCTATACTTACAGATACTTATATGCACTACGAGTACACTACCACACATGTCGAGAGAGCAGTCGGAAGCTTAGAGCATGTGCCGGCTGGGACGCTACGCCGCTGATGGGGAATATCTAAGAAAAACATGCACTACCCTTACGAGGCTAATGACCATAGCAGTTGACGCGGCCGGAAACACGCACTAATCAATCAATCTAGAGCGATGAAGTTGTTTATGAACTCAGTGATGTGTCGCGCAATATTTCCTGTATACTTACATGCGTGAAGTGATTTTCAGCATCATTATCTTGTGATCAACAACCATATCTGTATAATTAAGTCTGTTGTTTCCACAGTATTGTTATTAAAACTATTTTTGTGATATAAATGTTTTTGTGTGTCTCAATGTTATTTTGTCTTTCTTACTGACTTATTGTCCGTCTAAGTGGCTTGGAATGTGTGTCGTTGTTTAGCGTTGCTTTGAGCAGCTGTTGTTGTGTGCTAGTGTAGTTGACTGGGCTGTTTCTTTCACAATATTCACGGTATAGTTTGTTTCACTAAATATTCTGTGTTTTTCTATATTACTCAAAATCATAATCGTTCCTAATTAAGTATCATTTGTTCTCTGTCCCTCCGAAGAAGAGAGTCGATAACTCAACTGAACTACGGTGAATTTTCTAGCACATCTGTATTCTACCTGCCTCTGAAAAAATCAAGAGAAATCAATGAAAAATTTACTTCATTGCTCCAGATTTGACTTTTGAAGTAATATGTTCTTAAATTCCTCAGGTATCTAATTCGCAAAGCAAGCAAATTCTTGGACGTCTATCCGTATGTATTGTATGCATATATATTTAATTTGCATTATTTACAAATTGTTAATTAGAAATTAAATATTAAGTGTTCATTTTCCGAAAGCCTCGTTTTAAAGAAAAAAAGGCATTTTTATAATAAATAAATTTAACTGCAATTTCGCGTTCAATTGCACTGAGAGCACACTGATAATGAGCTATCTACTCTCCTCTTACTATTAGGGACAGAATCTGTTTCCAGGCACCATTTCAATATCTCTCTCATACCCTTATTCGTTCGTTCATTTTTCGCAGCTCATTTTCCTTTCGGTGTCGGAGAAACGCTCTCATGCCTTACTACCCGCAACAAGTTTGCTCTCGTCGGGAATCAAACAACAACAACGGCTTAGACGAAGTGGGGCAGCCCTTTCAACAACACTCCATGCAACAACACATAGCGTACGTTGGAAATTACAATATTGTTCTTTCATTTGTTACAAGTTTTTATCTAACGATAAATGTTTTTCATAGATTTTTGCTTTAATAGATGTATTTCCTATTCTTATTTGCCGTTTTTCATGTAAAAAATTTATTTGTCATCATGCATTGTATTCGACGAAATATTCGGTCATGTTATACAATGTCAACGTTGTTTGATGTCTCACAATCCACTTAAAATTGGAATATAACACGAGCTGGAAATATTTGTAACTGTATTTCGTATATTATAATGACTCTCCGACGAAATAAAATGTACGCTGTTCCATATGGTGACGCGACTTTTTTCTCTGAAAGAAGAACAAATGAAATTCGCATGAATTTACGAAGATAAATGATGAGAGACAGCAAACAACATATCAACCTATAAAATTGTCTTTTCTGCATGCTATTTTCTGTGATATAGTGTTATAGTCTGCTTTTATTTTTATTCTCATGTATAATTTAAATGTGAATCCTGCAAATGAATATTTTTACAGAGTCAAAAGCATTTTATGAAATGTGGTACACTTGCCACAATAATTCTCTATGTCGTGAACATATAATGTTTATATTCCATACATATAGAATTTGAAATTTAAGAGAGGCATTTTTATTATTCGTGATCGTAATAATAACAATACATAAAACATAATTACATTTATGAATGAAATACTGAACAACAATGTAATATACGTTGCACTGACATGTTTCGAATAAATTGATATTGAAAATAAAATTTATGAGATAAGTAATTTCCAAATGATTTGAAATAGCGATTTGCTGTTGCAGTATATTAGATTTGCACTTATAGCATTAGCAAGAGTCACACTAGAATATTATTAATGTAGTTCATACGACATGAAATTAGAGACCGAAATTACTTGCAATCTAATAGCAGATACTATATAAATGTAAAGAAGTATTGAAAGAATATTCTTCAAAATATAGCTTTGTTACTACACAATTGTTACTTAGTATTAGTTGTATAGTGTTACTACAAAACCATAGTTGCTTAGTAACGATTTCACTATGATATCCAAGTGAATTTTCAAATCTTTACTTAATTTTTCCTCTTAAGTTAGATATATTTGTATTCTCCTATTATCTTCATTTTTATAGAAGCAGCTTTAATTATTTAACAATATTCTGAATTTGAAAATGGTGTGGCGAAACTCGATCTGAATTACCAGAAACAGTTAATTTAATATGAACGCGATTATTTTGAAATTTCGACAAAATATCATTACTTAGAAAATCCATGAACCTACTCGTGCATAATCGAATACGGCTAGCTATATTTTTGGTTTTGTAAACGTGTCAATTTCCCTCTCAACGGGACAACGGTACTGTGCTCAAAAGCACTGTTAAGCCACCAAACATTTGGTAAAAATACCCCAATAAAATATAACATTTTACAGGTTTTCCTCGTGTTTCTGCGCAGACCTGCCTTTTGACAGGCCCGTCCATTTTATGGCCCCTCTTCCGGAGGAGCTGTGGCTGCGGGCGCCGACTGACAGGCCACGGAGGGTGCCAGTATCCCCCACCCCACCCCCCGCGTAGTTTCCACCGCCCCGTGCTCTAGATAGGAAAACGGGCAGCAATGCGAACTTACAAAGCCTCAAGAAAGGGGTATTCCTCATTTCCTTTCGCTAAATGTCGAAATATTCCTTCACTTCTCGTTATTCTAGAGAATTGCCATGATATTAATACTAAAATAACTATTCAAATAGCAAAAGGCAATAAATTGATTTCCATTGGCTTGAAATATTTGGAGACGAACATTACAATTCAGAAGTAAATTATTTATTACGAAAAGTTTTGGATTTGCAATATGCATCAATAACAGAAGACCTTCGAAATACGCTTTATTTCGCTTGAACGCCAATAAGCCATGGCTGAGTCTTAAATACATTTAATGAATATTATTGAATTATTTCTGATAAATGAAAAATATCATATCTGTGCATACATATTTTGCATCAGCATGAAACACAATTTTTTATTTTTATTTTTGATATAAAATATTAGCTGCAGTAGTATTTTTTTTTCGAAAGACAAAGATATACTATACGTCTAAGCCCTGACTTTCTATAGTTGTCTTTCCTAGTTCCGTTACTTTTCCAGCCGGTAATATTTACTGCTCAGCACTGTTGTGCCGTTGGAGGGATGGGGACAGGGAGGCATCTCTCCTTCCTCTCCTTTGGCCTCCCCCCCCCCCACCGCCCTCCCCTCTGCCCCCCCCCTCCCCTTCCCGCCCCCGCTGGCGCCCCGAACGGGAAGCTTGACAATAAATTATTGGCGCTACTCCTCTGCGCGCACTATGCCCTCTCGGGCCGGTCATGCTCGGAGAAGCGCCGACCGATGCTTTTGTGACAAACTCACCCTCCAATAAGCCCGTGCCCGCCTCCGCCCCCGTCCCGCCCCGCCCCTCACCCTCACTCGTGCCTGCGGCTGTCACCCTCCACCCCACGCCCACGCCCGCGCCCACGCCCACAGCCGCCCCGGGCGAGAGCGCGACGCTCGCTGCTCTTCGTCGTTGAGCGTTCGCTCCGGCGCTCTAGTTGTTCCCGTCTTCAATACCCTCCGCAGTACCCTTGCGGAGGCGGTGGGTTTATACACTCAGCTACTCTCCGGCGATTTGGGTTGCTAGAGAGGGGAGAGGAGCTTTTCTTAATAACTAGCCAAAATGAACTTAATTCGAGCGTAATATAATAGTAAATATTGAGAAGTGTACTCTCGGGTATACGTAAATTGAATTTTTAAAAAAAAAGTATAATAGTAAGCGATTGATAATGTATTTTTTCACGTTAGATCTGATATATTTCATCACTTATTCACACAACATTAATTTTTTATTTACATTATAAACAGCCATTCCTTCAAACCATTCTCTCCCTTATCCCCATCTGATACTGCGATTTCGATCCTGGGGGCTCTCTTTTTTCCTCTAAGTCTTATTTCACCATTGATCTATTATCAACATTATTTTCTTGCCTTCATGACCTCTCATGAATAAAAATGTAAAACAGTTATTGCAGATGTTAGTTCAGTTTTGTTAACTATTATTATATTCTTGAATTATAACAAGAGTTTCAATGGTCAGGGCCAAAGCAGGATCTGCAATACAGAATTTGTGTGAAATATGTGACCCATGCCGCACAAAAGAACTTAAAGCGGGAGTTTATAGTTTTCAGATTTTTGGGTTCTAATATCGGCTAAGTTTAAGAATACTTTTTTAAAATTGTTCGTGCTTCTCAGTGCTATATTTGAGAAAATATTAATTATTGAATGTCGGTATTTTACAAAGTTGCGTTTTGAGAAAAAAACACAAAACACCGGCACATTGATTATTTCGCTGGAGCTTTCATTAAATAAATCCGTTTCATACAAGGTAGTGCCAAGGAATTGAACTGATTCATAAGAAGACCCGTATAGCACAAGAAGTGAAAACCTAGAAATGCAATGTTTACACTACCCCCCGGCATGTTGATAACTCTCCTGAAATTGTCTCATCTCGTCTCTTTTCCATTGGAAACGATGTGTTCCCTTCCCCGTAACGTGCTAATTATTGTTTTTAGAAATCAAGACGGAAAAACAGAAAATATGCACGGATTCGTAACATGAAAGAAAAAGTACACGTACTACATCTTTCTCAGCAGATAAATTGCAGACATTTCATAGTGGAAGCGCTCCTAGTGCTCGACAACTCTGTTGCGGCATTTTTTCTTCTGTAGTGTACCTGACTATTTAGGAAAGCAGATGCACCCTTCTCGAGTCTTTAATGTTCAGACCCTGCCATTTAGGAAAATGGATAACGATCACACCTCGAGGCGGGATTTCCGTTAAAATTCCATCCGAACTGACTCTCTCCCTCGCGCCGAGTCTTCCGTCTCCCTCGTATTGGTAATAGTGGGGGTGACCTCCAATACAACCACCCGAAATAACTCACGTCGACGAAATTGCAACCCCGCCTCCGATCTGGCCCTGAGCGATAGAGCTGACAACTCTCTCGGACCTCCAGACACACCCTCCTTCCTCATTCCGAGCCCAACCCGACACGGAGCCCATCTTTCATCTCCTACTCCCCTTCTACGAGAAAAATTCTTCGCGATGGATTTTTCTTGATCTGAAACGCTGTGCTCTGACCGAAGGTCGGCGGAGACTATTTTATACTTGATAAGCCCCGAGAAAGTATTCCCACATGAAGGATGAAAGACGATAAAGCAATATGAAATGGTTATTGTTTTCCTTTTATCTTACGAATACGATGGAAATTTCGAAGACCCTAGTCCTTTGCGAGGGGAATATATTAAGTTGAATCTATGCCCGAGATGATACTTTTCAATAAATCGTTTTATTAAATGCCAGCCGCGCCCGCTCTTGTGCCTGAGCCGGCAGCGCGGACGTCGTGCGTGGGCGGGGCGGAAGAGGGCGGGGCGGGG